TATATATATATATGCAAAATAGCGTTAGGGTTCTTCAAAACATTACCCATTTTCTCAACTAGACCGGTTCCGTGTGTTAAAAGTAATTAATATATGTGCCGAATTTAGAATCTAGACTCAGTAATTTCATAATAAGTTTGATCTTGTTATTTGTAGATATTTTCATGTTTTGGATATCTATGCATAATTTATACAGAAAGCAATACCACGCACGGAACCTTCATAGATCCCCTATAATTTTTTATTTACATATTGTTGTCATCCAATTTTATCCCTCCCTTTTTAAAATTATTCTCTTCAGGCTCTCATAATTATATAAATTTTTCTTTAATTGTTAGGATTTGTTTTACATTATGCTTTGTTTTTACTATAACTAGTATTAGGGTACGCGCTTTGCACGTGTATCCTTACTGATGAATATAATAATTAAAAATAAATTACGTAAATAATATTAATTTATGTGATTGAGTTATAAAATAAAATTTTATAAAACCACAAGCTCTTGAAAATAATGAATATTAATCCCATTTAGCTAACTTAATAAGTAAATAAATAATTTTGTCATTCTTAATGCCTTGTCAAAATTTCAATATATATATAGTAGAATATATGTTGATTTTTACTCAAATATCGTGTAACAATAATATGTCCTTAATGGTCTTAAAAGTAAATTATATTTGCTCAAGTACCTAATATGAATTTCATATAACTCAAATTGAAAAATACGAAAAACAAAAAGATATTTTATATTGCTAGATTTACTTATCATACAAAAAATTTAATTGGATGGTTAATATTTAAATACAACTATGTTTTCTTTTATAAAGAAAAAGGTATTGTCATAGAAAATTAAGGTAGAAAATTAATGTTTATTATTATTATTATTATTATTATTATTAAAAGTCTTTTAGAATTCATGTAAATTTAATATGCATTCATATAATCATTACAATAGCATTAAAATTAATTATCTCATCTGCATATATATAGTTTTAGATATTCTTTTAGTTATAAAGCAGAATTCAAATTAGGTAATTAAAAGTTATCCGTTAATAGAATTTTAGTGATACAATACTTGAGTTTACTGATTAGATATTATTCAATTAATTAACGAACAATATTATTGATATAAGTTTTCTTTTATCATTTGGATGATTTTGTCAAATCTTACTGTTAATATTGATATTGTCACGAACTTTATAGTTACATCATACTTAAAAGAAATAATTCAATAAGATAAAATTTTAATGAATTTAAAGTTTTAAATAATGGGATTTCATACATAGTTCAAGTAAAAAACTTCTAACAATTTTTTTTATTTATTTAAAAGTCTTGAAAATTACGGAAACAAGCAAATGACTCCATTTTATCTGATCTTTTATCACGTTGAACTATTCTGCTTTATCTAGCTAGCCTATGATTAGTATGGAAACAATACTCGTGACACCAATGGTCCAACAAGTCATTATATTGGAAAATATAATTTAGACATTTATACATACTATTCATATATATCATTAAAAACTTGTAGTCTTTATGTAATAATTATATTATTACAACATATTCATATATGTTCTTTATGACAAATAAAACATTTGGCATGTAGACGATAATTTAATTTTGTTTTATTCAAGTGTTTGAGTTTCCTAATCTCATTATCCTATAAAAATAAATTTAAAATTAGATCAAAAATTTATGTAACTATTTATTATTATTATATTTACGTATTTTTACTAAAGTTTTGACTATTAAATCTTTCATTCTTTAAATCATGTAGCAACGCCTAATAATTAGGAATTTAATAGTATTATCTACACCCGAAATAAAACTAACTTCTACTAATTTAATATTATTTAAACCCTAAATAAAAAATATTACATTACTTATCATTAGGACATGGCGTTAGATTTTTGACACAGCATAATTATTATGATTTTTAAATTAAATTTCAAAATACATAAAATATGAAAATTTGTAAGAACAAATTAATCTTGTCCAATATTTCTGTTTTGTTCTTCCATCTCTGAAATCATGCTATGAGATTTAACATACAAGTTTCAACTAACATTTGCTTGACTATCGAAAATGCACAAACAAATATTTAGTGTAAATTAGATGAAGTTTTGGGAATCTTGCCGATTAAGGTTGAGAATGTTCTAGAGAAGGATTTGTGAACAATATTTTAGTGTATTCCTACGTTACAAATGTTAAGAAAATTAGCATGAAAGGTAATATAGTTAGATTACATAATTCAAATAGGAAAAAAATTATAAAAGGTAAAAATTAATTGTCTTTAAAGTCTTAAGTATTAGAAACCTTCAAATAAGGAATAATATAATTATAAAAAATTTAGTTATTTCAAATTCTTGAATAGAAAAATAATTAAATGACTATTTTATCTAATGTGAACTCTATTTTAAAAGGGTAAAAAAGACGAATGACATTTCGCTAAGGGCTTCGTGCTTTTAATATAATATAGATTATCCTAATATCTTAACTATTGCTATATCTGTCATTTTAAATCATTACCATGGGTGTTATCTATTTCTATATTTATTGTTAGTATTATTATTACTATCATTTCTTAAGCCATTTATTTTTAGTAATTATAGCTACTACTTCATTTTAGAGTCGCTTATAAGAGATAGTTATTAGAAGAAAAATTAACTCAATAATTGCTCACCTAATCGCTTAAATTAAAAATAATATATGTATACCGGCTAGAAAAAGTAAAAAGTGAATCCGACAGGCTATTTGAAAAAACTCTTATCAATAGTAGGCTTATAATAGATAGAGAAATTTTCACAAACCACTATTATTTAGTAGTTATTAGCTAGTTGTAGCTATTATTTACTATATTACTTCTTATAGCTATGTTTTCAGTTTTTTTAGAGTGTATTCGATGTATTTAAGCTATTGTATTTATGAATACAGTAGCAAAACTCGGCGTGAAACAGGGGATTCCAGCTAGACAATTATTATATTCGATTGTATTCGACTATATTCACGATATGTATTTGTGAATACAGTAACATAAATAGCGCAAATCGTGGTCTATTCAGTTATTTTTAAACGGAAAGTGAATCAATACACAATAGACTCCTAATATAACTCAAATAACTCAATTACATCACCCATAATCTGTATTTGACGCGAAATATGCTAAATATTTTTCAACAGAGCAATCACCGGGTTTTTAATCCTTCCATTTTCTGTTGATATCGTTCGTGGGTGTTTCTGTTTTCAACCAATAAAATTCGAGATTCATCTATAGTGCAAAAACATATTAATACATAATGCAGATACATTTGAATACATATGTACATCTGAATACATAAATTGTATTAATTAAAAAAATATATGAATACATTCATGAAATACAGCGAGACAGTGAATACAATGAAATACATGGAATACATCGAGATACCTTGGAATACAATGAAAAAAAAGGCAATGAATATAATGAAATACATGAAAATACAAGGAGATACATTGAAATACACTTTAAAAAAAGGTAACAGAATCTTCAATTTGCTCAGCCCCAAACTCCGTCGTCCTTATTCAAGAACAATCCTAATGTCGTCTCGTCGAGAGGGCCGCGATTCTGACTCGAAACGTCATTGTTCCTGTTTCGATCAAGAACCCAGTCCAAAGAGATCTAGGAAGCACAATAGACCAGTCGAACTTTCCTCTTCTTCTTTGTCTCCTCCGCTACTCAATTTGCAACAAACAGCTATAGACCTTATTCTATTATAACTTCTAGGTATCCGGAATTGAGGAAACGATGATTTTGGCTTGGTGTGAGAAGAAAGAGCGGAGATTTGCCGCTGATGGTGGTGGTGGCGGAGATACTTTCTAGGAGGAAGAACGATCGACGGGTGAACTGATGAGAGAGAATCCATGAGTTTTATGGCTTTGAGAGAGAGATGGTGGAGAAAAATCTGAAAGAATGAGAGAGAAAAATAATACAAAGTGTATTTTATGGCTTAAGGGTAGGAGGTGACCATAAATAGATATTTGGCTATAAAAATCAAAAGGTAGCTATGGAATATAATTTTTTAAAAGGGTGTTTATTTAAAATAAATAAAGTATCAACCTTTGCTATAGGAGGTAAAACTTCTTAATAGATACGAGCCCAATGATTTCGGCCTAGCCTGTAAGTATAGGCCTGGACGCCATGTCTAAATCCGACCCATACACACAGAAGATCCGACCCGTGACCCATTATACTCGCGCGTTATTTTGAACACTCACGCTCGCTCTCGCTCTCTCGCCCTCGCTGTCGCTCACCATTTTTCAAATTTCAAAAGCTGAGCAGAGCAAATATCGTTTCAGAGCATTGCACAATTATGGTGAGATCCGATCGCTTTCTCTCTTTGTTTTATTCCTCATTTTCCCCAATTTCTCTGTCGAAAAAAATCCTCAGGATCTCAAACCCGTGACTCTCTCTTTGACATTCTGAATTTAAAAATGAAACCCTAACCCTAACCCTGTTTTGTGCCTAGACCTCAGCCAGAACAAGTCCTACACAGTGAAAAATGCAAGTTCGATCGACTTGCATGGTGTGCCTTATTGTGCAACTTCGCTTTTGTGATTATATACTTAATCTTTAAGAAATTTCCTCAATGATACTTGTTAAGATATGTAAACATGTTAGGAGACTAGAGACAAATTTTGGGCTTACTAGCTTACGGTAGTATATTTTAGTCTCTTACCACGTTTTCTAATATCCCAACAAGGTCATAGAGGGAAAAGAAAGAGAATCAGTTATGTAATTGCGAAATCGCAGTCGTACAATAAGGCAGTGCAACATTTCAGCACATAATGACAGCAACCTATCGTGTTCTTAGAATTGGAATCCATCTGCGCATACCCTGGCCCGAGAGGAGTAATTGGCATGTGGAAACATTGGACATGGAACAAGTGAAGTTTTTTGCTTTTTGATGCTATTGTTTCTTTGAGAATTGCACATAGGTTAGGATTGTAAAACGCTAAATATCTTAAACCCCTATATACCCGAATATACATGTAAAAGGGCCCTAGTAAACATAGATTTGGATATTGAGTTTTGCATTTATTGCTTCTAGTGCAAATGGGTGAAACCTTGGTGATTTTAAGTTGAATTTTGTCTGTCATTGTTAATAAACGAGTAAATTTGTAACAATTGATTTTCGCATTAATCCTTCAATGGTCTTTGGCCTATGTCAACCAGAGAGTATATTAATCCACAACAATCAGTGATTGGCGCTGGATCTTAATGGTTATGCTGTTCCACAGTGCTAAAATCTGGTTTCTTACAAGATTTTGCAAATTATACAATATATTTGTATGATTTATGCTTTATTCTTAACTTTTGGTCTTGTTGCACTCTATACTCGTATTATGTGGTGCCATGTATCAGTACTTTGGAAAGTAGAAGCTTTTGACTGTTCTGTTTGTTTTCTGAATCTATTCTAAACCTAGTTTAACTCGTGGAATGAAAATTATTAAGAATGAACATCTTCATCAAAAAGTTATGTAGTTGCTGGGCTTGCATCAAGATATGGAGAAATATGATGTTTATGGTTTATGGTACCACGAGGCATTATCTGAACCTCATGCGAGTGGTTTTGAAAAAAGACACTTATGTGAAGTGCTACATGCTTGGCTGGTTATATTTGAAAGTTCAGATCACTATGATAGTCCATGATTTTCATGATCAAAACTTTGTACTTTTGTTCTATTTTTTCCATTTAAATAGGAAGAGAATCGTCTCCAGTGTTAAGCCTACACGGTTGATACATGTGGAAAATTATCTTGGTGCCATGAAGAACTGGATACACTTGCAGGTTGGCTTCTTTGTCATTTTTCTTATACTTTCTGGGGGAAAGAATCTCTGTCAAAGAATTTTTAATTTAGTTATGACATACTCCTAGCAATTAAAATTCTCTTTATTTTGTTGCTGGCTTCTTATTTAAAATTGCTGAATATCCTATTAATGTTTTGTGTTGCAATCTGAAGCGCAAGTGGAAGAGCTTCCTACTAATGTCGCATGTAATGGTCCTTGGATTTTCCATTTTTAGCTTTTACTCAAAAACTTTGTGTTCACAAAGTTTGTTGGATTTGTCTCGGTGTACTCAAATTCATTTGCACCATATTGGAAACTTATGTAGCATCAAGCTAAGTCTTTCAGATTTCTTTGGCTAGTTTGATTATCATTTGCACTGAGATCTGTTTCACAATGGAGGCCGGTATCAGCCTAGAAAAAACTCTGTTGAATGAGCCTTGTCGAATCCACAGTTCTTATTCATCATCCATCAACATCTTTTCACAATATGTTACTGTGATTGCCCATCATGGTCTGACGGGCAATGTGTAGGGCTTCCAACTGTCATGCTAGCTTGTTGATTAACTCGGTATGATCAAATCTGCTGATCTCTTTTGTTTGCCTGCATATTGTGTGGGTATCGATGCCTCAATCGGGTTTTGAGTGGAATGGTGAACTCCAGTTGCTGACACAGTTTGATGAGAAAATAGTGCATGTTATAACACATACATGCTATGAGTTCCTGTTTTTGTTTCGGTTCTTCTTTCTGATTATTTGGATACTCAATTGAGTTGCATATTTTTAAAGAAATTCTGGAAAACTCTTAATGCTAGTATTCAGTTGATTGGAAAATTACAGCTGCTGCAACGTATAAGAATTAAGATGTGTTAAGATGTATTAATCTTTTTTCCGATTTGTAGGAGACATTATAGAAATTTCAATTTAGATTTGAATTACAATTTCACTGATGGCTTTGCTGTTTTCAGGATACATATGAGACATTCTTCTCCATTGTGGACCTTCATACGGTATCGTTCAAATTTCCCTGACTGTTCCTTAGTCATTTAGTTTGTTTTTCTTTGGAATTGTCTAGTGCTGATTTACATTTTATGGAAGATGTATATGAACTTGCATTATCAAGTAATAGTTGTATGATTCACTTCTCTCCTTTATGTAAATTTGATCAATAACTCTGTACTCACTCAGTTTTGGAATATTTTTTTGATTATCTGCATAATTTGCTAAGACAATATTTCGGTCCAAGAAGTATTTAAATGAAGTGTCTAGATCTTTCATCATTCTCCAATACTCGCAATTGGAAATTATTCTAGTATTCTGACTGACTGACTATCTCGATTCTCAAATTTTATTAGCTGAAATCCTAGTAAGGACTTCCCTTTGCCTTTTCTTTTTGTTGATAACGGTGGCGTCGGGGTATGCTTACATGCACCTCGACTATTCTATTCTACTAGGTACGTCTTACTTCGCAATTCCCACCTGCAGATGTACCAGTATTTCCCTTTTCTTCCTTTACATGGACTTCAAAGTGCCAATGAAAAAGCAAGCATGCAATTGTTTTTATGTTCATTATGATAGGCTTGGCATCAACTAATCGTAAGGTCTTATCAAGAATTAACTAAACTAACCATTAGGTTGATAGTCTTTTAGAACTTTGAGCCTCAATTTGGTGTGTTATTAAGACACACAAGAGGAGCAACGGTACTCATTTGCATTTCTTTCTAGATGTTCCATTGCAAGAGATTTGTGGTGGAATCGTTTGAGGGAAGAAGATGATGCACAGAGAGAGAAAACATCATGGTGATGCAAAACAAAGTACGTACAGTAACAATAGCAAGAAGCCCAAGAGAGATTTGCAAACGATACTCTTGCAAAATTGTTAGTTATTTTATATTTAATGATCAAGGAATTTACCATTTCAGCTTCCAAACTTGGGAATAATGGGCGCGTCCCTAATTTGATTTGAATAGGTTATCAAAATTATGTTGTTTCTAAGATCCTAGGAAGATACAATGACCTCTCATTAGACTATAAGATAAGTTGTATTGTTTATTGAAAAGTGGTGATTCAATTGAACCAGTGCCACTTTCCCACTGTATTACTTTTGGATTGATGTTGTTGAGGAATTAGCATATTTGTTTGGATTTTGCATCATGGCAATGCTACATGTCTGCATCTCTTTTGTTGCGCAGTTACGAGATCTCTTGAAATCTGGAGTTGAATGCCCAGCTTTCTTTCAGAAGCTAGAGAAAGCTCAAACACAGTTCTCCCAAACTTGGTTTATAAGATTTTAGAGACTTGTTGGTCAGAGAATTCGGAACTTCTCAGTGTTTCTTATTTATTTTCTTTAACCTGTGAATAATTTCTTTTTTCTTTCTTGTTAATATGTGAATTTTGGGAAAATATTTCCAATGACTGATCGATTGCAAGATGTTTATTTCTTTTCCGAGTGAGGTAGTACTACTGATACCTGCTTATTAATTGTCTTTTTGAATAAGTGAGTTCATGGAATTTGGTCAGTGAGAACGATCTTTGGGAAGGTGGAAATCTTGATGTGGATGAAGAAGACTATGTTTTAGTTAGGCAAGAGGATATAGTAGATAATATAGCATTTTTCATGGCTGCATATCTGTTGTCCCAGAAACAAACTAATGTATGATGCCTTATCAAACTAAGGTATGGATGTTGTCTTACTAGTTGATGTGACTTTTCCTTTCAGTTTAATGTTATTTTGTTTTCTTTACTTTAATCATCTAATGTAGAAAGATGGCTCAATGCTATTCAATGCTATTTTCTTTTTTTCACTTTCGAAGGGCATGGGATGGAAGCACAGTAATTTACAATGAGCTTCTTGGGGAGTCACAGCTATTGGGTAAGCAGAGCTATTCCATTTAAATGTTAGAAGGATGCTACCACATCCTATTTCAACATGGCTCTTAGTGATGTCAATTGCATTCATTCATGTGCGTTGATCAGGATATAACAAAACTCAACCGTTCTAAAAGCTTGCATCTGCAGAATTCTAGACTTCCCGTCGTGTTATATCAAAGCTCTTTTAAGCAGCAGATATGTCTTGGCTGAAATTCTAGATGCACTGCACTGCCTCCATTTTCATAGTTGCATTTGGTGCTTCCTTAACAGCTTGATGTTCTCTAATAACGTAAAAGCCATTCTGTGGATCACAACCAAGTCTCTCAATGCATTTTAATCCTGTAAATATTTCTCTGTAAATGTAAATATTTTTCCAATGGATAGCCTTTGTCTGCAGAATGATTGAGGCTCGTCTACTAACCTCACTCAACTTAGATCATTGATTCTCAAATAGATTCCAATTGATTATCTGAAACCAGACATTCTCGTCAATGCTAAAAGAGTTATTTTTGAGGATCACCCTACAGAATTCTAGCTGCTGATACTAGTTCGTTTATTATCCATGTCGTTTACTCGCTTACCGAACTTTCAGCAATTAAATTAGACTCTCTGCTAAAGGCTTTTAATTCTATTTATTTCCGTGTATTTATTTTGTTCGAAACTGAGATGAAATAATCGCAGTAATTTAACAGAGACTTAAACATGGTTTACCTCTTTTCATCTTTCCAATCCTGAAACATAAACCTTAACTTCAGGGAGGAAAAAAAAGGAAATTCTTAACCGATCAGCTATTTTTTTTGTTAAAGATAATTTTGGCCATCTTAATAAATATGAACTTTATATAAGCATTAAAAGAAAAATATAAAGAAAGAAAAAGGGAAGGGACTAAGGTGCAGAGGAGAGGGTATCTTTGGGAGGTGGAAAAGTTGGGAAGGATTTGAGGAGATGTGGTGAAGGGGAATTAGGAGTGTTCGTATGCAAGCGGTTTTGTATGAAGCTAGAGTTTGGGTATGTAGCCAGTATCGAATTAAGATTTACACTGTATGATGCATATATTTAACTTTGGGTATCGATCTGATTGGTCGTTTTGAGAGTTGTAGCCCCGTTCCCCCATTTACTGCTCATTTCAACTTAAAAGTTGTAGCCTCGTTACCTATTTACTGCTCATGGTTGAAATCTTAAGTTGAAATGATTGACCGGATGTTGATCCTTGAGTAAACGACTCCGGAATGGAGTTTTGACGGTTCTGTTAGCTTCGTTGGGAGATTTTGGACTTAGGAGAGTATTCGGATTGTGATTTGGAGATCCATAGTAGAATTAGGCTTGAAACGACGAAAGTTAAATTTTTGGGAAGTTTGACCGGGAGTGGACTTTTTGATATCGGGGTCGTATTCCGATTCCGATTTCGGAAGTTAGAGTAGGTCTGTAATATCATATGTGACTTGTGTGCAAATTTGGGGTCAATCGGACGTATTTTGATATGTTTCGGCGTCGTTTGTAGAAGTTGAATTTCCTTAGTTTTAATAGGTTTGGATTGGGGTGCGATTCGTATTTTTGAAGTTGTTTGATGTGATTTGAGGGCTCAACTAAGTTCATATGAGATTTTAGGACTATTGGTATGTTTGGTTGAGGTCCCGGGGGCCTCGGGTTGATTCCGGATAATTAACGGATTAAACATTGAAGTTGAGTGATTGCTGAAGTTGGACCTCTGCTGGTATAACCTCACATGCAGAGCTTTGATCGCAGGTGCGGGATGTGATGTGCAGATGCGGTTTGGAGGGGAGTGTGCAGGTGGTCGCAGGTGCGAGGAGTTTTTCGCACCTGTGTGGGCGCGGGTGCGGTGATAGATGCGCAGAAGCGGAAGGCGCACAGGTGCGATGGGGAATTCCGCATCTGCGTGACCACAGATGCGGCAAGGGGAACTGGGCAGATGGGCTTGATCCACAGAAGCGGCTTGGATGCTCGCAAAAGCGAGACCGCAGGAGCGGAGTGAGGGATCGCAAGAGCGGAATGAGCCACAGATGCGTGTGTGATGTCGCTTCTTCGACGCCGCAGAAGCGGTTAAGTTCCCGTATAAGCGGAAGCGCTAGGCAGATTATTAAAACAAAGGGTTCGCGATTTTGGCTTCATTTCAAACATTTCAATCACGGGTTTGGGCGATTCTTGAGAGGGTTTTCGAGGGGATTCTTGAGGTAAGTCTCTTGTGCTCATTTTTTTATCAATAATCTTGCTTCTCCATTGATTTTCCCACCTAGTTTGTGTGTATTTAAGGTGTAAATTGGGAGTTTGATGCTAGGGATTTGGAGAGTTTGATTTGGGGATTTGGGTGACGATTTGATGTCGAATTTTGATAAATTTGGTATGGTTAGACTCGTGGTTAAATGTGCTTTCGGGTTTTGTGACTTTTATCGAATTTCGAGACGTGGGCCCGACGGCCGGCTTTTGAGTCGATTTTTGACTTTTGATTAATAACTTAGCATTTTCTTATGGAGTTGATTCCTTTAGCCCGTCTTGATTATATCGAATTGTTTATGGCTAGATTCGAGGCATTCAGAGACCGTTTCGCGAGGCAAGGGTGTATTGGAGTAGATATTTGCTCGGATTGAGGTAAGTAACAATTCTAAATTTGGTTCTGAGGGTACAAAACCCCGTATTACGTGTCATGTATTTGGTTTTGAGGTGACGCACATGCTAAGTGACGGGCGTATGGGCGTGCATCGTAGGAATTGTGACTTGGTCAAATTCCATAGAACTGTGTAGTTTTATAATGTGTTGTTATCTATACATTCTCCATGTATTAGAGAAATTGAACCACAAATCATGTTAGAAATCATGTTTAGACTATGTGTTGGCACCGTAGGGACCCACATAGGTCGGGTGCATGTTTAATTATCTGATAAATTGTTGTTTTGTACTTAATCACAGTTTTACTTGTATATTACATCTCAGTCTCCATTGTTTATTATTGATGCACCATATTATTGTTGTTTGGACTGCTTATCATGATTTCTGAGGATATTTATGAGATCGGGCTGCACGCCGCAACATGTTATACTGATATATGTCTTGTTATAATGCTTGGGCTGAAGGAGTGTAACGACCCGGCCGGTCATTTTGAGAGTTATAGCCTCGTTTTCCCCATTTCTACTTCTTTTTGTGTTATTCAGCTATATTATGTTATGTCGGGTTAGTTGGTTCGGGACCGGAGTGGTTTCAGAGTGAATTGAGACACTTAGTCTCTTAAGTAGAAACTTAAGTTGGAAAAGTCAACCGGATATTGACCTATGTGTAAACGATCTCGGATTTGAATTCTGATGGTTCTGTTAGCTCCGTTAGGTGATTTTGGACTTAGGAGTGCGTCCGGAATGTGATTTGGAGGTCCGTGGTAGAATTAGACTTGAATTGGCGAAATTGGAAATTTGGCAATTTTGGTCGGCGGTGAAAAATTTGATATCGGGGTCGGNTGGAAAATTTGATATCGGGGTCGGAATGGAATTTCGGAAGTTAGAGTAGGTTCGTAGTGTCATTTGTGATGTGTGTGCAAAATTTGAGGTCATTCGGACGTGGTTTGGTTGGTTTCGGCATCGGTTGCTGAATTTGGAAATTTAGAAGTTCTTAGGCTTGAATCCGAGGGTAATTTGATGATTGGATGTTGTTTTGAGTGATTCGAAGGTTCAACTAAGTTTATATGTTGATATATGACTTGTTGGTATTTTTGGTTGAAGTCCCGAGGGCCTCGGGGTGATTCCGGGTGGTTAACGGATTTGTCGAAGTTGGAATTTGCAGCTGGAGCTGTTGCTACTGCTATTTTCGCACCTGCGGAAGAAAGCCTCGCAGATGCGAGGCCGCTGGTGCGCGTGGGGAGTGCGCAGGTGAGGGCAAGGCTGGGCACGTATGCGAAGAATTGGCCGCATCTGCGAGCCCGCAGGTGCGAGGCCTTGAGCGCAGATGCGGAGATGAGAATTTTGGGCTGGTTTCGCAGATGCACACCAGGGACTGCAGATGCGAGTCCGCAGGTACGAGAAAGGTGTCCGCAGGTGCGGAAGCTGGGGGATTAAGTGAGTTGCGCAGGTGCGGTCGCGCGGGTACGAGAAAATGGCCGCATGTGCGAAAAACCTGGGCAGAAACCATAAATAGAACCCTTTGCGATTTTGGTGCATTCTTCACCATTTCTATTCGATTTTTGGAGCTTTTGGGAGAGATTTGAAGAGGGAATCAAGGGGGTTTCGTTGAGGTAAGTTACTTGAGCCCTAATACTTGTATATATGGTGATTTTTCGTTGTTTAATCATGGCAATTAGTGAAAATGAGGGGTTAGGGATTGAAATTTTTGGAAAATAATTTAAGGATTTGAAGGACCAAGCAATGTCGGATTTTGATGAATTTGGTATGGTTAGATTTGTGAGTGAATGAGCTTTCTAGTTTTGTAAATTTTGTCGGATTTTGAGACGTAGGCTCGGGGGCCGGGTTTGAGCCAATTTCGGGTTTTGGTCTAATTTTGAAGCTTTTCTTGTGGAATTCATTCTATTAGCGTATATTGATAGTATTGTACTGATTGTGAATAGATTTGGAGCATTTGGAGGCCAAGTCTAGAGGCAAGAGCATTGCGGGGTAGAGATTTGACCGGTTTGAGGTAAGTAACGATTGTAAATCTGTCCTGAGGGTATGAAACCCCGGATTTTGTATCAGTCTACTATTTTTAGTGACGCACATGCTAGGTGACGGGCGTGCACTGTTGGGGATTTGTGACTTGGTCCATCCCGTAGTAAATGTAAAGTTGCATACTTTGTTGAAACCATATGATACTTATATATTTTAGAAAGAATTTCTGTAAATTGGGCTAAATGCCATGTTTGGGCCTTGCGCCAATGCTGTTTGGACCCTTAGGGGCTGTTTCTTATCATCCTCTCATTGTTTCCGATTGAAAATCTATACTTAGTCATGTTTATACTTGTTTACCGCATAACTCAGTTTTATGACTTTATTTTGATGCATATAAATGTTTTGGGCCGAATGCCCTGTTTTACTGAAATGCCCAAGTGGCTTGAGAGGTTTATGAATGAGTGAGGTCGAGGGCCTGATTTTATGAGGATGAGTGTGGATCGGGGCTGACCGCCTGCAACATACTTTATTATTATGGCACGTGAGTTGTCCGTGCAGATTATAGCGCTTGGGCTGAAGGAGCCCCTCCGGAGTCTGTACACACCCCTAGTGAGCGCAGGTACCTGTTGAGTGCGAGTGTCGAGTGACTGGGAGGCATGAGTGATTGCGAGGTATGCCCGAGTAGCAAGAGTGATTGTGAGGTATGCCCGAGTGGCACGAGTGACTGTGAGGTTTGCCCGAGGGGCTATTTATGAGTGATTTTTCCCGAGGGGCTGTTTATGATTTCATCATTTTTGCTCACCTTTGCATTTTTCCTCTGTCTGAAA